CCACCAGTCAAATACTGGCTAAACTGGATATATTAATCGATAACTCTAAAAGATTTACTCAACTAATTTTTCGCAGGCCTAACATGAAACTTTTATGTGGCGGCAGTAGTTTGTTGTTTTGTTAGGCTAATTTCTGGATGCTTTATAGGTCGACAGATGCCACAAGCTGTCAGTTATAGCCATTTTTATTGGGTACAGGGTATCGCAAGCAGCAACAAAAACAAGCAGAGAGCAGCCAGCAAAGCAACTGGCAACAGGCAACAGCAACAGGCAACTGCAACAGGCAACTGCAACATGTGGCAGAACAACAATTTATGATGTTGCCGCTGACAGGCGAATGTTGTTTGCAGTTGTTGATGACGATGATGATTCCAAGGATGCGACTCCGGGACGAATGCGAGGCAGCGAACAGCTATTGATTTAGCCTGGCTAAAGCCAGATTTGCTCCAAACAGCCTCAAGCCTCGCCCCTGTCGTCTCGGTGTCCTCCAGCTCGAGCTGTTTTTAGTTGCGATAGTTTTGCATATTACTTGCATGATGGATTCCGTTGCGTCGTTTTGTGTGGGCTTTAAACAGAGCCAGAGATTTCAAATGTCGTCACAGCTCGATCCAGATGCGCTGCCCAAATCTCATGGATAGATGCCGCTGCTGCTGCTGCTGCTGCTGCTGCTGCTGCTGCTGCTGTGTAGAAGCAAGCCAGCAAAAAACACAATTGTGTCCATTGCCATTACCATTACCTGATTTGTTTCAGGCCTCTCCTCTGGCCAGCTCCCCCAAGGGGGGTTGCTTTGACTGCTGCTTTGGCGTGTGGGTGGCGTCGCGTCGCGTCGATCAGCGATCGCCGATCAACTGGCACACATTGAGATATACTCGCATTAATATATATATACACATATATCTTTGCGTTCATATACATATTTCTTGTGTGCTTTTTGCTTTTCAAGTGCCTGTCAGAGTGTCGTGGTTGTTGTTGCTGTGGCTGTTGCTCTGTGTGCGACTCATTCATTTCAAAGTGCAAATGCAAGCCGACAGCTAAGCGACGTCATTTAGAGTTTTGACAAGCGGCCAAATGGCCAAATGCTTAAATGGACGCCCTCAAATTGCGCCGACGACTAACACGGAGCTGAGTTGAGAGCTTGTGCCACCAACGTGCATTCCAGTTAAAACACCAACAACAACAACAACAAGTGAACAGTAATTGCAATGTTAAATGCATGACTAATAGATACTCTGTAACGAATGAAAGCTGAGGCGAAAGGGAAACGAAAGTTTAAGATGCAAATTCTTTCTAGTCAAACGGTTCGAGAGAGTTTATGAACTTATCTATCATATGTGGGTATATATGAATAAGCTGAAGATTATAGTCTCTGATGGAAGTTGATATATGAAGATATATATTTATATGTAATTGAAGGGAGGAAGCCTTGATGGAATACTCTGATGTATTTATCGTCCCTTAGCTTCTTCCTCCAGAATCAATTAGGCTTCCAAGATATTGTAATTGAATATAAATTTTGAAATTAATAAACCATTTATTTCTCTTTTAATATAGAAACCCTAAATTTTGTCAAAATAAGGAAAATTAATCACAGAAACTGTTGTAGCTGCGCACATATAAAAGCGACTGTGGGTGGGAGGAAAGTAAAAGGCGTGTGAAAGTTATTCAAAGATGAAATATAGAAATAATAAATATAATTTATCTACATATTTATTAATAGAAAACCGGTTCCCTCTATGTGTTTCTCTATCGCTGAGCTCTCTTGATATCATCTCTCTTTGTCTTTCTTACTTGGTTCGCTGACCCTTTCTTTTCTCTCTCTCTCTCTCGCTCTCACTCTTTTTCCCTCTCTAATGCCTGAAACAATATTTCGTAGTCGCTATTACCTCTTTTTGCCCTTTTGGCACAGGGTATGATAACAACAAAAGAGACAACTACAACAATAGCAACGACAGTCAGCAACGATGGCACGCACATTTCGTGTACGATTCTCAGACAAATTGCAGAATTGGCGAATGCTTGAGAATTCTGTAGAATCGGAATCTGCACTATGGGATCTCTATGGTGGTCCTGAGCGTAGCTAGCGTTGTGGCTAGGACTGGGCTGGGCATGGGGATCGTAGGTCCATGTTGCAGTGAAACTATATATATATATTTATATTATTTCTTTTCTACTTTGTTTGGGGGCGCCAAATTCGCACATGTTGCGTAAGAAACGAAGTTGCAGTTAATTCACATTGTTGTTATTGCTGCCTCCGATTTGGGCTGTGAGCAACAGCAACAGCAACAGCAGCAACAGCAGCAGCAACAAACAATAACAGCAGCAGCGGTTGGGGCAGGCGTGGAGCAGCGTAAGGGGGCAACGCTCAGCATACCAAACACTCAACGCCAAAGCGCACTCCACGGCCACTTCACTGCACTCGGCGGCAAACATAGCCCAAAAACAACAACAACAACAACAACCAAGTGAACTTGTACACAGGTGAGCGCTTGGCTGTGAGAGAAAGCTGTAACCGGTTTATGCTCGCATGCGTTGGCTCTCTCGCGTTAGCCCTCTCTTTATCTCTCTCCCTCTCTCTCTTTCGCTCGCTCGCTCCCTTTCGCTCTTTTTGCGTGTAGCTAATTTACATGCCTTCGCTATGGCCAGAGCCTGCTTCTTGTGGGCAGCGCTTGGCGAGGCGTTGGATGCATAGCTGGACTTGACTTTTATGCTTTTATTGAGGCACGAATTAAAGCACGAATTTAAGCACGAACTCAGGCACGAACAATGCAGTGCGTGTGGGTGCTCAGCAGAGAGCAACAAAGTGAGAGAGACAGCGAGAGAGAGAGAGAGTAAGCGAGCATAGAACTTGAGCGCTCTCCGGCTGCTGCTGCTGCTAATTGTGGACCTGTCGTCGCTGACTTTTTTACTTGTTGTTGCTGCTGTTGTTGTTGTTGTGTGGTGTGGTGGTGCCTTTTAAAATTCTTGTCTTGCACCGCTGTTTCGGCTGCTGCTGCTGCTGCTGTCTCTGCTCTGGCATTCATATGCAATTGCCATGATGCAGACCAAGAAACGACCGCGTGCTGTGCAGCGCACCAAGATGCTGAGCGGGCAGCGGCAGAGGGCTGTCTGCCGTTTGCCTGGCAAAGAAACCAACCAAACCGCTTTTGGTGAGTTGCCCGACGCCAACACACCACAGCGCATAGCTGCTCTCTCGCATCGCTCCCTCTCACTCACTCGCTCACTCACCTCGCTTGCCGCATGCACTTGACCACGGCTGAGTTGGGGGCATCGCTGTGGAGAGCGCAAGCGCTGAGAATTTAGTCTATCGTTTGTTTTCGTCGCTGAAACATTGAGCAATCGCAGCGAGCGGATTAACGCAACTACCGTCGCAGTTGTTGCCATCGCCGTCGTCGTCGTCGTCGTCGGTTCGTCGTCTGCAGAATCCGTCGAATCGGTATTACAAACGATATCGATAACTCGATATCCAAGTGCAAGTGTAGACAAGTGCCCAACTAGCGGTAACTGCGACAAACAAGTGTGCTAAGCGAAGAAATATTTGTAGTTCGCTGTCGAAATCTAAGGAAAAATTCTAAGCCTCAGTAGGCAGGCTGTCGGCCCCCCAATCCCAACCCCAACTGCTCACATCTGCTAGCGTTTGTCGCCGCGTTTTTATTTTGTTTTCGTCGCGATCGTCGCGTCGTCGTCGTTGCCGTCGCTTCGTCTTCGTTGTCGTCGTTTTCTTCGTCTTCTTCGTCTTCTTCGCTGTTTTCTTTCTTTCGCCGTGCAGCAAAAATGTGAGGAAAAGAGCCAAACAAAATAAACGCAACAAGAAGAAAATAAACGGAATTCGAGCCTTTGACTGAGCTTTTTTTTGGGAGGGAAAAACTTCGGAGTGCGCTTCGAGTCAATAAATGCCGAATGTTGAGAAAATTGCAATATTTGCATTTTAATTAAATCGCAAAGAATTTCCGTGTCGCCGTGTTTGTGTATGTATAAGTGTGTGTGCCCTACAACAACAAAATACACACAAAATATATAATCAAAAGAAAAAAAAAATAAAATACAAGAAAAAATACAAAAAGAAATAAACCAGAAAAAGGCGAAAAGAAATATTGTTCAACAAGTCAAACGAGTTCTTTTGGCTCGCTTTGGCCGTGTGGCCAGCAGCAGCAACAGCAACAGCAGCTACAATAACAACAACAACAAAAAATCGACTCAACATCGCATTTGGTGGCAGTGGCAAGCAGCAAGTTTTGTTGTTTGCGCCTTTGGTGAAAAATATTGACAGCATTTAGCCACAAAATGTAAGAAAAACACAGCATAAAGAGAGCATAAAAAGGATAAATAATACATAAGAATACAAGTGACATTTTTAAGGCGCCGAAGCTCCACATTTCCAAGCTTTCGATAAAGTCGTTCTAGTTGCAAAGAATTTACTGTTTATCAACAACTTGGTTATAGACAAACTACAAATACACCGCACAAAACTAGTATACCTATCCACGTAGGCCGGCTATACATTCGTTATATTCACTAAAATATGTAAAGTACTCATTGTTGTCTCCATAGCATATGAGTAGTATTCAAAGTTTGCATTGTACTCATTGCAGCATGTTAAATATTAGAGATGGCATTGTGCTCATACCAATATGTAAAGCTTCAAGTATCACAGCAGGCAGCGCACATTTAAATATGAATGGTATGCGAATGGGGTCTAGTAGTCATCAAGGCAGCCAAGTACGCATACACATACATATGTAATTCCAATCAGAAAAGACAATATATT